ACCTGGTTGTGTTCCCAGATCTGAGGTTATTGTTATATATTTATTAATAGGATCCCTGTTATATTTATGTACTGTTTATTGTTCTGGTTATTTTAGCCCAAGCTGTCTGTTTATTTGAGTTGTAAATGTCTTCATTATTTTCATGTTTTTTTCGATTTTATAAAATTATCCAGAGTCTTCTGGAGTGGGTATCCATAACAAATCTAATAAATAAATAAGCTAACATTAATTGGAAAAAAAAAAGCCCACTACTATATCATTGATCCCTGCAAATAATTTGGGGAACATTCAGAGACTTTATATGCCAAATGAGTAATATGGAATTTAAACAAGAAAATAGAAAAAACATTCAAATGTAAAGTCTCCATTCTGCAGATGGAGGTAGTGTGCAATTCCTACCATCAGAGGATTCTCATTCTGCTGCGTGTTTTGGTCCAGCAATTCAACTTGATAAGTGTCACAGAGATGCATTGAAGCATTTCAGACTATTTATCTTCCTTACTCTTTTTTGTGATAAGGATTGCATTGACTAGAAATAATTCCTTGTGGACACAGCCTCTGTTTTCTTGCCAGCAACCTGGTACAATGCAGTATGTCAGGACTGACACACCTTTCTCATGCTTTCTTCCTTTCCTTCCTCTTCATTCCTTCTTGCTTGCCTGGTCACATTTGCCTGCTGCTCACTTTCTGGGGTTTTTTTTTTCTGCTTTTTCACTTTAGGCAAAGGAACTGCAATGGAAAGACGAAGAGCTGAAGCGGAGAGACACCTTCTATAAGGAACAATTGGCCAAGATTGAGAAGAAGGTGAGGCAACATGATCTTTCATCCGCAGTGGCTTTATGTTAGTGGGATCAGAGTAGATCATGAGAAAAGAGAAATGAGAATCATTGTGCTGAAACTTGGCATTCTTAGCCCCTCAAGCATACCTTTTGTGACTCTCCTCCTTCTCACACATTATTAATCTGCTTCAAAAGCAGAACCTTTAAAACAGTGAACATTTGAAAGGGAACTGGTCCTTAACTGGATTATGTTTTTTTAAAAAACAACAACAACACTTTTTAAAATCTTTCATAGTGTTCCCCCTTCATCCCAATTTATGGAGCTTGGTTTAAAGCAAAGTTACAAAGTTTCTAAAATATCCTTTGTTAAAATCCATGGCTCAGACAAACAGAAACCTTGTGAATGTAATTTCATCTTATTCTATACATATGCTGTACACTATAGTCAATAGATCAAAATGTGTTGTATCCAAGTGCTGTCTGTCTTGCACTACGTAAAATTGAGCACAATTTTAAAAGGTGCCATCCAGCATCTTTTCAATGTAAAAATGACCTTTGGAAATTTAGTTTATATATTTCTTTCTGTTGTATTTTTTAGTATGATGAGTTTTTAAAATACGGATAAACAAGAATTCACCAGATCAAAATGGACTCTTCCTCAGAGTTCTTAAAGAATTCATATGTGAAGTTGCTAACTTTCTAGTAAAGCTATGTAACTTTCAAAATTCAAAATAGATTTGAAGTAGCCTATTAGGAAGTAGCCAATGTAACATCACTTTTTAAAAGAGAGAGATCTGGGAGAATATAGGTCATTTGGTTTAACATCTGTTCCAGATAACATGTAGAAACAGCAGTTGGAATAAAATGAAAACACATAGGCACACTGAGTGCACAAGTCTTGCTGTAGGAAAGTGAGCATGATTCCATAAAGATAAATTATATTTCACCGATCTTTTAGAGTTTTTTGCAGGTATCAGAAGGCACACTGATAGAAGTAATTTTGTTAACCTTGCATATTTTTTCAAAAGGGTTTTTCCATCAAAAGTTCCTGAGTAAATTTAGTAGCAATGGGATAAGAAGAAGTGTCACCTAATAAATTGGTAACCTGTTCAAAGGCAGAAAGAAAAAAATAGGAGTGAATGAGAAATTTTCTTAATGAATGGAAGTAAGAAGTGGTTCGTTGAGAATCTGTTTTGGGACTGATGCTTTTTCTTAAATGAACTTGATTTTGGACCAGATAGGGAGCTGGCTACGTTTGTAGATGATACTACAATGTTCAGAGTGGAAAAAAATAATAATGATCAAAGAAATGTCAAATAAATTTAAGCAATTAGAAAAAGATGTGTATTGGGATTTTAAAAAACCCTAACTTCACATTAATAGAATCTACTCTGTCCACAAAAAAGAACTTGAATCATAGTTCATATTCTAATGAAAATGTCAACTCTATGTATGGCAGCTGTAAAATGGGAAATTTCATGCTAGGCTTGAAAGCTAAAAATGTGATCGTAACAATGTCTATATATAGTCTGTGGTACCATTGGTATTGGAAATATTCTGTACAGTTCGGGTTGACACAGTTGACAAAGGATGCAGTGGAACTGGGAAGGATTCAGAAGTGGGAATTGAAATAATAAAGTGATCAAATTCTTTCCCTTTGAGAAAAAGCTACAACGAGACTTAGAGAAAAAGGCAGCTGTAGGGTGATCTGATTAAGATGTACAAAATCATGTATGACATGGAGAAAGTTGTAAGAGAGATTATTTTATCTACTCAGAACGCTAGAACCAGAGCGTGATGGAATGTGCAGCTGGAGAAGAAGCGGGTGGAGGGAATGATGGCAGTAGCACTGCGGTTTTCCAGGGAGGAGGCATCATGTTCCAGAGAAAGGCTCAAAACAAAACCAGTAAAGTCTTCAATTGGGGGGAGGGAGGAAAAGGTTCAAGGTGGTTACATCAGATTATATCTATTGTTAAAAGGTCTAAAGGGTTTAAGATCTTTAGTCTGGAGCGATTCTGTATATTGGGTATAAGCAAATAAAAAAACTGGATTCTATTGGATCTCATTGTGTTGTCTTCAGGCCTAGGCTTGACACAAAGTTGTCTAATGGGGCTGATTTACAAGATATTTAAAACGGACAATAGAAGCACTTCTTCACACAATACATAATTAACTTCTGGAATTCATTACTGCAAAACTTGATGGCTACTATTTGGAAAGTTTTAAAAGAAGATTAAATGAAGGATATATCTTTCGTGGTCTACTGGTTGTGAAGACACCATGTTACTTCTCTGTTGGGAGTAGCATATGTTCAAATACAGGTTGCAAGAGAACAGTGACAGGAGAGTGATATGTCTCTTGGTCTTCCTTGGCTTGGAGACCCTTCAGAATGTTTGGGTTGGCCATTATGAAAAACAAAATCATGATCCATTAGGGTTTTTCTTATGTTCCTTAGAAAATAATTCCTTCAATTTCATGCCTAAATGACCCAATGTTTTTAGGAGTATTTATATTTTGCCTTTTTACATATATACCATTAAAACTTTTCTGTTGGTCTGTTTGTAACCTTCAGTTGGGTGAAATGGTGTATCAGAGGACAACAATTTTTGAATCAAGGTACTTCAGACGAGCTAAGTTTTAATAACGGAAAAAATCTTGCAAGAACTTGAAAGCAAGAGATTTGTTGACAGGGTTTGTGCATCAGACTCCTTTTAATGTGTATGTTAATCAGTTAATTAATGCATTTATATTTTCTGTGCTTTTGGGGCAGAAGGAATAAGTAAACCACTGATTTTTATTTTTATTTTTTACAAAAATTAAGTCTCAAGTATATGAGAGCACTGCTGTGTTATGTATCATGGGACATCCTTGACCCTACTCCGATTTCGCAGTTGTGCATCCAATTTAGAAAGAGGAAACAGCAGCAGAGTGTAGGAGAGGGCCATGGGGGCATTGCAGACTTCCATTATTCACAATGCTTGTTCTGAAGATTGGGCACTCATGCTTTAAACTAGCAGTGCGTGACTTGTGGCTCAAAGCAGCATACAGCATTCCTTCCAACATCTTTAGAATGTCACCAGAGATCCCGCAAATTGCTGCAAAACTATAATTTCTAACGTGACAGAAGGGAACAATTAATTAAATACTTAGAAAGTAATAATATTAACAGTATTTAGGTGAATTTTAATTGAATGTTGCCCTCAGTCCCCCATTTTTTGTCATTCCAGCCTAGACTACATTTTGGAATGTAGGCGCTGGCACCTAAGAGTTGAGCAAGACTTAAATGACAATTATCCCCAATAGTAATGTAATCTGCATATTAGTTTTGGCTACCATCATATTAGGGGAGAGACCACAATTCAGTACTAGAGTACATGTTTTGCATTACAAGATGTTCCAGGCTCAGTCTCTGGCAATTGCATTTAGAAGGAGCTCAGACCATTGGGAAAGAGAAGTATGTAATTTTAAAAAAATAAACCAAGTTATTATCTGATACTCCTGAGCTTTATGTATTAAGCAGAGATTTTGCAGTGAAATTTACAGTCAATCCACCACACAGTGTAATGATCACAGTTGTCCTAATGTTCATAAGTGAATTTTTTATTTTATTCTATTTTTGTGAATGAAATTTGGCACCATACTATGCTTTTTTACATGCTTCTCTCCAGATTTGTATTTCATAGGATAGCTATGAGAGGGAATATGTATATAAGCATCAGTTATTTACTGGCTACTGAAGAAATGTGTCAAAGTTGTCATATTCTCATATCAATCCTTTTGATTTACTTTAAAGAAGCTTGATTTCCAATTCTCACTTCATTTCTTTTACTTATAAGCAGACTGAAAGCTATAAACCTATAAATGCTGTTTTAGGAGGAAATCCCATTGAACATAGCCTATTTCTGAGGAATTTTGCATGGAATTAAGGCTGTAAGATTTTAAAGCAGGACAAATTAAGAAGCTTGACCATGGTGTTAAAATTAAAAGCTATCAGCCCAATTGCATGTCATTGGTAATTATTTTTTTTATTTCCTTCTTCCAAATTCTGTGCACAATAACAAGTTTGTATTTGGGGTGGGGGGTATTTTCGCACTATATGATAGTAGATAGTAGTTTCTTGACCCTTCAAACATCAGCATTTCACTGGCAATAAAATAGAAGAATGTCTCCAACTGCTGTAGAATGAGCCTGAATTAGAGTTGGAGATGGAGGGGGCTGGCAGAGGAGAGAAATGTACTTGAAGCAGTGTAATAAAGCTTAATTGTATTAGTTCTGAAAAAAAGAATTTTGATCTTCAAGGATAATTTTATTCCTGTAATAGCTGGAAAGAGAAAATGCAGCACCGAACAATCTTTTATATTAGCTGCAGCTTTTATATTATTTTACTTTCATTTGTTGAATACACACAGACCTTGACAATTTTTTTTCCTGCTTCCATAGATACTGCTTTAGAATTCTTTAATCCTAAAAAAAAAAAAGAGAGAGAGACTCACAACGTGAAGTACGTTGAGGAGGAAACATCGGAAGAGTTGTTTGGTTAAATTGTTATGGTTGGATTTTCCAGAATTAAAAGCTAGACTCTTCTGGATTGGGGATGAATTTGGGATTGGTGGGGTAAAAGACACAGGAATGATTCAGTATATAAATAAGAGACCGAAATCATCCTCTATATGTGTTTTTTAAAGGCATATTTTTCATTTGGAGCTTAACACATGGACTGTCAAAAGACTGTCTACTTCTAGATTTCCTGTAACTGACGTTACAGGATGTTCTTTCCACATAATGAACAACTAATGAGAGTATTACGGTCACACCTTTTTCAGGTACTAAATTTCATAAATTTCTTACAAAACAAGTCATAGGTTCATTTTGAACACTGTGTTAATAAAACTGACTACATGATTATTCAGTGAAATTCAGCATATGCCATTATTCTTTTGGTGTGCACATGAAACGTGCCCTGTTTTCCAATGGTGGCTGTTGCTGGAACAAGAGATCACTGAGGCTCTTGGCCAAAGGAGAACAGTTATATTGGATCGCTAGAAAAAGCTATGTAGAGAACAGCCCAGTGAAATTATTGGCAATTTTGAAATGAAGATAAGGGACTAGAGAGTTATTGATTAAGATAAAAGATGAGGGTTTTCTCAGTAGTTTTTCTAGTACTCAGGGTTGTCCTCAATCTCATTTGATCCATGTTAAGATTCTTCTGCTATCTATTTGATAGTTTCACTCTTCTGTTCCATAATGATTTATATTGATTACTTGGAATCTTTCCAGTTTGACTCCAGTTTAGTTTGTGTTCTGAAATGTCTTTAGTTGTCATAATGCAAAGCAGAAAATGGTAGCAGTCTGTGACCTTCCAGAAGTTTCTGTGCAATCTTTAGAATCCTCTCCAGGACAATTTAAACTCTTCCTAGGTTCCTGGTCTGCTTTGTTTGAAATTCACTTACACATTACCTGTCAATTTTTTGTAGCAAATTGCAACTACTGGGATTGGGAGAAACATTAAATGAGTTCTCCTCAGTGTTGTTTCTCACTCAAATTGGCCTGTTTGTCAGTTATTTCTGCATGTTCCATCAGTTTAAAAAAAGGTTTAGTGGATTACTTAGTGCCTTAGTGGATTACTTGCATCAGGAAATGGCAGCAGGCATATATTTGTATTCTTCTGAATTTTGAGTTTTGAGAACTTTCAATTGTACTGAGTAACATTATTTATGATACGGTAAACTATGTTTACAAAATAAGAAATTATAATTGTAATGATGTACAATCATCTAATTATAATTGGATGATTGTAATGTAGTTCATTGTCCAACGTTTTATTATTCTTATTTATTTATTATTTATCATTGATTGGATAAATCTTTGTCTAAAGTAAGAAAATAAAATAGAAAATGTCCATGTCCAATATCCTGATCTTGATTATCAGAGGCTTAGAGTCGGGGTGAAATCTAATTTTTTTTGCCACTGGTTCTGTGGGCGTGGCTTGGTGGGCGTGGCTTGGTGGTGGTCATTGACTGGGTGGGTGTGGCCATTTAAAAAAAAACTTTTAAAGCATTTTTAACTAGTAAAAAATGCTTTAAAAAGTAAAAAAAAAAAAGTTTCCGATGATCAGCACTTGACCAGCCTGGCCTCTCTCGCCAAGCCAGATCCAATGCCTCCTAGCCCCAAAGATTTCAAGCCTTTCTACCTCGGCCACCCAGTCTGGGAGATGATGGGCGGGGGGAGAAGAGAGAAATAAAGTGCTCGGCTGCTCCCCCTTTTCACTCACCCCAAGCTTCCTGTTGTGGATTTTCACGCCTTGCTTCACGCGCCCGGGATTGTCACCATCGTCGCCTTCTTCCTCCTCCTCTCCAAGTGGAAAAATGCCAGGAGCAAGTGCAAAAAAAGCGCTTGCTTGCTCCTGGACTTTTTCCATTTGTAAGGAAGCTTTCTTACCTGTGAAGGCAAGTCTGGCTTCCTGCACTAAAAATTTCACCAGTACCGCTGTGCACACGGCTTGTGTGTGTGTGTGTGTTGATGTCGGGCATGGGCTGCTGCGAAGACCAGGAGCAAACACACACAAACACACACAGAGGCTTTAAAAGACCTTTGAATGAAGGCGGAGGTGGATTGGAGGGGTCATTTCCCTCCCCCTTCCTGCCTCTGCACCGACATTCAGTGCAGTGCACACACACACACACACACACACACACACACACACAGAGGCTTTAAAAGACCTTTAGAATGACTTGGAGCTCCTTCAGGTTGGACTCCAAAGAAGAAGAATGAAGGCGGGGGTAGATTGAAGGGGTGAATTCCCCAACTCTGGTTCAGCCGGCCGGGGATGGGACGGCAGGCACAGGCTGCTGCGAAAGACCAGGAGCAAAAAGACACACACATACACACAAGCTGCATGCACAGCAGTACTGATGAGGTTTTTAGCGAGCAGCACAGGAAGCCAGACTTGCCTTCACAGGTACGAAAGCTTCCTCACAAATGGAAAAACGTCAGGAGCAAGCAAGCACTTCTTTTTACACTTGCTCCTGGCATTTTTCCACTTTGAGAGGAGGTGGAGGAAGAAGAAGACAAGGGCGACAATCCTGGGCATGTGAAGCAAGGCATGAAAATCCACAGCAGGAAGCTCGGGGTGAGTGAAAAGGGAGAGCAGCCGAGCGCTTTGTTTCTCCGGAACCGGTAGAAAAAAATGCTTAAAAAAAAAAAAAAAAAAAAAAGTTCTGACGATCGGGCATTGCTCAGCTGATCATCTGAACTTTTTTTTTTAATGTTTTAAGCATTTTTTTACTACCAGTTCTCTGGAAGTAAAATCAGGAAGTAACCACGACTGGGCGGGTGGGCGGAGCCTCGCGCCACCATCGCTACCGGTTCTCCGAACCACCGGCCATCATCGCTACTGAATCGGCCAATCCGGTCCGAACTGGGAGCATTTCACCCCTGGCTTAGAGCCATTTTCTTTGTGACTGATCACTACATTTCTTGCACTAAATAGGGAGCTGGGTAAGATGGTCCAAAAAAGTTGAGAATTATCTGTAATTCAGTTTTGTTTTGTCCAATATGAGCTTCAGTTTGTTATTCCTCATCCAGTCCATCAAAGAGGCCATCTGAATTAAGATTGAACATCCCTCTCTCAACACCACCTATCTCTTGTTTACAACACAGTCCTTTCAGCAGTTCCCTGAGGGAACAAATAAACCTCCAAATGGCCTCAATGACTCTCAGAGAGACTGCAAACAACCAGATGACTGCAAGGCATATACATCCTTCCATTCTTTACCATTCAGTCAAACCTGAAGAAGCTTCTTGGATGAGCAGCAAAATATCTTCAAGGAAAAACAAAGCAAGTCCAGTTGCCTTTTGAAAAAGCACCTTTGGGACATCCGGTCCATCACTTTAGCCAGGCAACAATTAAGAACAAGCTCTTTCATAGGCTCATCAAGCTCAGATGAAGACAATATTGTATTGCCACTTTAAATCTCTGAATGATATTACTCAGCAACCTCATGTAATTATTAAAAATACAAGGAATAAAATACAGTCAGGTGGAATTCTGTACTGTAAATCTCTTGTGGTTGAATCAGAATCCCAATCCCATTCTAGAAATAACTATCTAGAGATGAGCAGAACTATTGCAAAATCGCTCTATCCACACCTGACTCAGAAAATCCGTTCAGAAAGATTTACAGCATTGACAGCCAATATACCCCCATCTCTTTCCTGAGAAAAAAAATGGCCCCGTAGAGAGACCAAGGCTATTTGGTGCTGCTTTCAAATGGAAGGGGAGCAGAGCTTAAACATCAAAATCAGCTACCATTCATAGAGTCAAGGGGAGCAAAACCTGTATTTTTGATGCTTGTATAAGGGGCAGTGATCTGAAGTCGATTGGGGGCATATAACTTATCAAAGGCTTGGTTTCCTTTCATTCGAAAAGGAATCCTTGTGGATTTCTCTATTCTCCTAGGGAAAAGGATAAACTTGCATTATCTATTTGCTTGGAAATATGTTTACTGATTACTCTTCTTGAAGCTACTCTGAGGAGAGTATAAAAATAAGACAAACAATATTCCGTATCAATATTATAAAAGCAATCAAAAAGCTCCCATTAAATATAAACAATATAAATAGAAGTACAGTCAGTCAAAATATAATGTAATTAAAAGAAGTCTATAAGGCTGTTTACATTGTGTAATGTTCCTTCTTTGACTTTGGGGCAATTTCTGCTTCTTTTTGAGGTACAATTAAAGATCAGTTATGCAAATGTCATATCCATGTTTCGACCGAAAGATACACTTCAATAAAAATCCTGCCACCAGTATTTAAACAGAAGTAACTCAAGAGTTTTCCCCACCCTATCCCATTTTTTGGAGGCATTTGCATTATTTTCATGGTTTTAACTAAGCATTGACACACTTTAAATGAAATAACATTTTCCTTGTGTCTCTACAATAACATATTTTTTAATATTTCTTTGAACACTCACTTTTCTAAGTATGTTTATTTAATTCTGTATTCTGCCTTTATTGTTTTTACAAATAACTCAGACTTTTTTTTGCCCACAACAACCCTGTGAGTTTGTTTGGGCTGAGAGAGAGGGTCTGGCCCAAAATCAACCAGCTGGCTTTTATGACTAAGGCAGGACTTGAACTCATGGTCTCTTGCTTTCTAGCCCAGTACCTCAACCACTAGACCATACTGGCTTTTGAACAGTCAAACTGGCTCTTGAACTGCTTCAAACTGTTGATATGATATGCCCAATCGTAAAATTGGCAACAGTGAGGAAAAAACAATTCTGTTAATTGAAGCAAAGTGGAATCTTCTTTACTTACTTATCATTATAATAGAGGGATATGATACAATATAGGACTCTGTAAATATTATGTCACTGTTGTTGAACTCTGTATTTCGTTCGTTCCTTCCTTCCTTCCCTCCCTCCCTCCCTCAGAAATGTCTATGTCTATGTCTATATCATAGGGGTTTTTTAACAGTATTTTTGTTATAAACAAGGATCCTGTACAGCAGCTGACAGTGCCTAGGAACAGTTTTATTAGGCATTTTAACATGCCACCCCACCCTTCCCATTTAATCCCTCTGTTTACTTAGAAACACTGCTGTGTTCTTCTTTTACTGTGGCTTTTAGAGCTCTCTGCTTGATTTTCTCATTAATGCCTGCTTCACTAAAAGCTTGTAAAATTTAGTTGTTAATATACATCAGTGCACCTGTTTTCAAAGATGAGTGAATTGATTGGTAATTTGATGAATTCAAAGAACATTTATATTAGGGTAAATAAAGTGCGCTAGATGTCATTGCTGCCTGCCTGTCATTGCGTACTCAGGCTTGTGTGTGTCCTCAATATTAAGTACTGTGTTGACTGATGTACAGTGCATTACATCAAATTACGAACAGCTTCTATGCAAACAGCAGCTTAAAGTGTTTGCTTCCATTTTGGTTTGTGTGATGATTGCAGAGGCATCTGGAATTGACATGCTGAAGGAAAACTGCCTGAGTCTTATGATATATTTATTATCCAGGAATGGTGCTTGTATATCAGTGTGTTATTTTCTATGAATCAAGTCAGTGTAAGGTTGGTTAACTAAAATATTTACAGTTGCCATGATACCAAAGCTGAGTGGTAGCTAGCTCAATTCTTAAGTGGCGTCTTCACTCTTGGTAGTAATGAAGAAGCTCCACTGCCTTCCCTATTGACAAGTTTTTGTCAATAAATGTTGGAATACAGCGTTTATTTTTTCACCCTTTTCTGACTTATAATATTTATGTAAACAAACATATGTTGCTATAAAATGTATATTATCTAATTATCAGCTCAAATTGTATTTTGGTTTTACTCGTATTCACTCTGTAGCAGCAGTCACAGTAGTAAGTTACTCAGATCTGTTCATTCAAACAAATCTATCAATATGGGATATAATTTCCAGCTAAAAGTTTTTTATCTCTCAAGAGGCCAATGAGAGTGAATGCATATTTGACATACATCCTTGGCTGATTCATAATAGCAATTGTAGAGTTTCATCAACTAATAGTCACCACGTTTCTTAATCACCAATTGCACAGTGTAGCATCTGCACTATTCTTACAAAATAGAGAACATCTGAACATTGATAAATAAATATAATTGTAGATGATTATGTTGAAAAAGTGAACATATCAAGCCCAATTATAAGCATTTGTAAAATTAATTATTAGATGTCATAGACTTTGCTCACAAATATTAAAAAAGTACTCCATCAGATTAAAGCAATCAAAGGACGCCAAATTCAGCACTTACTACATTTATTATAGAAACTGCTATACCAGCTCAGTGAATTAGGGCACCGTCAATCATGCCCCAGAAGCAAGCCAAACCAAAGCAATCTTGTTTTGTCTTTATCTGGGAAAGAGAGCTAGGCTTAAACAGAGTTTTAGATTCTTTAAAACTACAAAGGATTTCAGATTATTTCAACATGAAAATGATACTTCTCAAGGACCACCTCACTTATTTCACTGCTGGATCCTCAGCTCAAGAAGTAACCTGCCCAGTGGCTAACTATTTCCATATTGCTGCCAAGAGAATTACATTGATTTATGCATCAAGACCTGGAATCAACTCAAGTTTGACTCAAAAGATTCTTTTTTAAAAAAACTATAATGGATACAAGAAACTCACCAGATTTCATAGAAATTGTTGCAGGAATATTCACGTTTTCTTCCCCTGGCATATGAATATTCACCGAAGGGAAAAGGAAACAAGATAAAGCATTACAGTACAAAACTGGTAGGAAGGTACAATTGCATCTCAATCTTTCTCATTCCATTTTTGGATATTTCTATCTAGCTTTTTAGCTGCTTAAACTTACATGAATGTCTCCATTGTTTGTTGAAAACTAAAAGATGGGGAGCCAGAGCAGTGCTGCTGAATGGTGAAGTCTTGGGAAGGATGCTTTATTTGAGAATAGCCTCTCACTCTCTGCTCTCCTGCAATAGGAACTAACACGCTATAGTGCTCAAGTCTCTAGCATTAATTTATTTAAAACATTTATATACCTGCCCATCTTCCAATCAAGTCTAGGCTGCTCCCAATCAAAAGTTAAGACAACATCTAAAACCATATTAAAACTATAAAACTAAACACATTAAAAAAACCAGACTTGATTAGGGATAGTAAGTCATTAGAACAAGTTTAGTGACAGCCCATGTTGGTATACTCTATGCCTTGCTTGTAAGCCCTGGAAACCTAGCCTTTTGGATGGACTTGGCAGTAATTTCTTGCTTGCTGATTGAATTTGGCCACCAATAAGAAATATTACTTACTTTGGATTGAACTAGGGTTAAATCTTTACCAGTCCATTTAGACTGCCAAATTTGACCGTAGATTATGTCCCTAGTTCAGTTTCTACACCTTCATCCTTTGTTTGTAGCATGTTGTTGTTGTTAGTTGTAAAGTTATGTCCGACCCATCGTGACCCCATGGACGTTTCTCCAGGCCTTGCTGTCCTCTACCATCTCCCGGAGTCCATTTAAGCTCATGTCGACTGTTTCAGTGATTCCATCCAGCCACCTCATTCTCTGTTGCCCCTTCTTCTTTTGTCCTCAATCATTCCCAGCATTAGGCTCTTTTCCAATGACTCCTTCCTTCTCATTAGGTGGCCAAAGTATTTGAGTTTCCTCTTCAGGATCTGGCCTCCTAAAGAGCAGTCAGGGTTGATCTCCTCTAGGATTGCCTGGTTTGATTGCCTTGCAGTCCAAGGGACTCGCAGGAGTCTTCTCCAGCACCATAGTTCAAAGGCCTCAATTCTTTGGCGCTCAGCCTTCTTTATGGTTGTCCATAGCATAGTCATCCTCATATTTGCTCTTTTCATTGACATGCATTATGATTTTTGGATAAGGATTTTTGTGCACTACTACATGACTTTCTCTATGTCCAATAAATTCCTCATTAATCAACCTACATCCTTTCAGTTTTACCTTTGGAATAATTATCCCTGCTCTGGATTTTTGACAGAAAACTTCTTTGAGAAGGACAATTTCAAAGTACAGTATTGTAACCTTTTTGGCTGAGATTTAGCTTGAGGGTTAACTTGCTTCGGAATATTTTGCTTTATTTTGTGTGTGTGTGTGTGTGTGTGTGTGTGTGTGTGTGTAAAGTGAGCTATACCTCCCTTGGACTGGTTTCTTTTCATATCCTACTTGCTATTCCTTCCTACTTAGCTAAACAGTATGCTTCCTGAATGAACTTGAGAGCTTCCAAATCATTTTTGTGTGTTTGTGTGTGTGTGTGTAGTACTGGAATAAAGGCCTTGGAAAAGATATTCAGACTTCATGATATATTTGTTCTTACAGAATGGATCATAGAGCAAATCAATTCAGAGTTTTACTCAAGGCAAAATTGCTAGGCTCAAATTATAATATTTTGACAGCATAATACAAAGACTTTACTCTTTGGAGAAGTCTATAAAAGGTAGAGAAAAAGAGGACCACCAGCAGTAAGGCAGAGGGATTTAAGTACAGTCATGGTTGGTACATTGGGGATAGATCATCCTGGAGGATATCTATGTTTTGATGGTTTATCTTTATCTCAATCATTTATGGTTTAGGTTTTTAGTTTGTTTATTTACACAGTTTTTCTCTACATTGTTTAGCCCTTCTGAAAGAGATGAACCTGAACTTTGACTGAGATATCACCTATGTCTTGATCATTGCTATCATGTAATTCCAAGGAAAATGCATGAATGGCAGGCAAATAAACTGAAATTAAATTAAAGCATAGAGCTGTTCTTTGCCAGTAGCAAAACTGAGATTCCATCTGTTTCAGAAGTAATTGTGCTCCACTTGAAAAAATCAAAACTGAGCTAGGGATTATTCCTTAATCCTGAACTGCCCCTGGATTTTCAGGTGGCCATGGCAGTAAGGAATGCATTGGCTACATCATGATTAGTTTAATGCAAATTCTCTGGGTGGATCTAGCGTTGAATAGTGTCTGGAAGCTTGGTGTAGAAACACGATCATACTATATGCCCATGTGGAAAAATATATACTAGCTTTTTTCTAGATCCTTTGAAGTTGCTGATTTTAACCAATAAGAGTTTGGGATTAGCTATCTGAAAGTCACCGTCTCCTTTTAAAAAATACCTCCCTTATAGGGCGCAGGGAAGGGAAGCTCGGTGTTGTTTCCAAATTGTAAAACATGGTTCATTTTCAATTTTCAATTTATTTTAAGTTTATCTTTTCCTTATGGAAAGATATTAAGAAACATTTAAAAAAAAATCTAGCCTTTTGAATAATTTATTATATTATGTAATCTTGCATTTTAAGTTGGTTTTTATTAATTTTTCAGATTTATTCTTTGGTGTTACATAAATAAATACAGTCAGTTGATTAAAAGCTATATCAAGTAGTACTCATAAATATTTATATTAACTATATGTGTGAAGTACAAAGACACACATACATGTTTATATATGTTTACGTGTGCAAATCAGTGATAGGTTTCTACCGATTCACTCCGGTTTGGGCGAACTGGTAGTGGCGGCGGCAGGAGGCTCCACCCACCTGCCTGGACATCATCACGGATGCTCTGTGCATGCGCAGAAGCGCCACACACAAGCAAAACAAGTGTGCATGCGCACATGCTCCCGATTTCGAATCGGTAGCAAAGGTGAGTGAAACCCACTACTGCTGCAAATGTACATATGTTTTCTCTGTGAAGATTCCATTTCTTCTTTGATCGAGACACAGAAGAAAAAAATGCTTTAATTTTTTTTTATGTGATTCTTTTAGATATAGTATTGTACGTGAAAATATGACAACTAAAGCTATACATATCATTTGGGTACATTTACACTATATTTATGTTATATATAATTATATAAAATGTCTGATTCATTGTAAATCTGTTCATTTATTTATTAGATTTATCATTTTAGAGTTCAAGAAAGTAAACATACTGTTCCCTTACATGTCCTTTCATCAGAACCATTGCCACCATGTGAGGGTCTGAGAGACTGACTGGCTCAAAATCACCCAGTGAATTTCCATGGTAGATTCTTAGCCAAACACTTTAATCATTACACCATATTGGTTCTCCTGTTTATTAATTAATTGCTTTTGAAATTATATATTCATTATTCTAGAAGTTCATTCATATGCTAATTTACCCAGTCTTCTGGATCTCTAACATAGATTATCTCAGCAAAATCAAATAAACTAATAGCTTAAACTCTGGTACTGGTACCATTCTAGAACATTTCTCCTCCTTCTGTTCATGGCCCAAACATGTCCTTGGAAATGAAACACAGTGTGATTTTCTTGTTTATACAGATTAGAATATAAAGTTCAGTAAAGCTATGTGCACTTAAAGTTTCTGTAGTAGGTTGTCTTCTGCATTTTTCTTCCTTTGCAGAGCATACTATTGGCATCAAAAGCATCCATGACTTGGAAAGATAGTCCTGAACCATAATACAGTAGCGGCGCTGAGTGATTGAATTGCTTCAGCTTGAGTGCATAATTGTGGATTTCCTCAGTTATGCAATTCCCTGCGCTTTAGCTGTGGGATGTCTGATTTGCATAATCACTGTGTGGTTACATCTTAATAGCTCTGTTGTGTGTGCATATGGTGTGTGCATGTACAGATGTAGATATTTTTCTTTGATCTTACTGGCGGCTGTAATTTCTGTGTTCTTATTGGCTAACCAAACCGGAATTTTATGCCTTGTGCCAGCAACAAGAAAAATAGCTTCTTTGTCTCATTGCTCTTAAAATAAGTTATTCTTCTACATAGAAGAAAATCTGGGAATATTTTGAAATATAGGCAGAATTGGTTACCAGATAATGAAAAGAGTTATTTGTTAAAAGTATATTTTAAAAACAACTTTGATTCTGCTTTTTTAAATAATAACCTGAATTGTTTTTATGCTTTGTTACTATGTATAATACAAATATTATAGATGTAACTGCCCTAACCATAATATTCTGAACATTATACATACAAAGTCTTGTCTTTATTTTAAACATGCAAATTATTTGCAGCACTTTCCCAAAGAACAATCAATGGTTATGATAAATTCCATTAATGACTATTCCAAGTTAAGATCAAATTTCCAATTAAATCTACGTCTTTTGTTTTTTCAGTTACATATAAATGTTATGATTTCATGTTGATGAAACTTGTATTTCCTTATGCATTCTTCATCACTTGTTTGCAATACCCTGTAGTCACCGAATCTCATAGCAACAAAAACTTATTTACTATTTTAATTATCCAACAGCATATCATGGGTGATATGGAGATTCTCAGTCATCCGGGTCATGGTTGTCCCAAAGGTGCTTTTTCAAGAGACAACTGGACTTTCTATTTTCTTTGAAGACGTTTTGCTTCTCACTCAAGAAGCTTCTTTTTCAAGAGGCAACTGGACTTTCTATTTTCTTTGAAGATGTTTTGCTTCTCATCGAAGAAGCTTCTTCAATAAGAAGTGAAATGTCTTCAAAGAAAAACTAGAAAGTCCAGTTGCCTCTTGAAAAATCACCTTTGGGACAACATGTGTGTTACTTCCTACTGCATTGCTTACCTACAGGCATTTTCTTCTGCAGTTGAGAGGCCTACACAGCCTATCCGAGGTAGCTTCTGGTTACACCAGGCATTCTTTCCTGAAGATTGTTCATGAATGACTTTGAAAGCGTCTGGAAGTGCCATGCAACTTCAGAAACCTTCCAAAGACCTTCAAGAACAGGCTCTGTTCTTTGGAAGTTTCCAGAAGTCCTGTATGACTTTGGAAGCATCTGAATGTTCTGTGGAACCTCAGAAGCCCTGTGAGACTGGAATCTGTTCTTGTATGGGGCTTCCAGAGGCTTCCAAAGAATGGAGCCTGTTTGCATGGTGTTCAAAAAGCTTCCAAAATTGTGCAGAGCTGCTGAAAGTTCTGGGCGTCTACTTCACGGGTAGCCAAGATTGAGGGACATGTGCAGGTGGTAGAGTTGTAGTGCCCTCACAGTCATAAAGTTGGGTACATTGCCAGGCACCTGAATTTTTATCACACAACTACAAGGGCATTGCAATAGCCATAAACTTCAGGCACCAGTCATAACTTCCTTCTTTTCACACCATCATAAGTTTGAATGGTTACTGAATGAACAGTCATTAAGTGAGTATTGAAAGCCACCAAGGATGGATGCATTCCCTCATGTTATCCAATTCAGCTTCTAGCTGCTGCACCCAACCATGTGCAAATCAGCATCTAGACCCAAAGTTTTAAAAATGCTTTATTAAAAAAAACTTTCATAAGTATTTTAATTACTAAATTTAGAAACTGTGGAAGATGGGGGTAAACTTTTTTTTTTAAAAAAATAATAATAGCATGCATACCGTTTCATTCATAAACTAGTTTCTTGTCCATTTATTTTTCTCAGACTTCATTTAAAAATAAAAATGTGCACTAAAATCAATACATGGAATAATGCCTCTATTCATGAACCATTAGTTTGTTTGCTTAATAGTTGATATTTGATTTGAAGGCTTTGTTTACTTTTCTTCATAAAAAAAGTTTTTACAATGAGTTTATAACTCTTAAGAATTTTGATTTTTTAAAAATGTTTCTCTTGAGAAAGTTTTCTGTATTTTGACAGAAGTAGGTATTCAAAGCTTGATAGCAATACTAAGACTATTGTCCTATTTCCTAAATTTCTAATTGCAGTATGACTTCCTTACTTTTATGTTTGATATACAGCAAAGGATGCCAGCCCTGTAACCATGTCATTTCTACACAGTATTGGTGGATCCTACTTTATAAATTATATGTTTGATTTCAACAAACTTATAAAGAGTTTGAGAAGGATTCCATGGATGGAAATCTTCAAAGGGAAAACAACTCAAGTTGCTTGGGAAACTCTGAAAAATGAGATTATAAAGGCCCAGTCTAGTACAATACTATTAAAAAAGAAAAATAAGAGATTCCAGAAGAAACTAGCATGGTGGCATAAAGAACTCTCATAACCTAAGACAAATATAAAAAGTGGAAAGAGGAGCACATAATAAGACAGAAAGCAAAAGATGAAGTCTGGAAATTTAAGGTTCAGAACAAACTAAGACTTGCATCAAATGTCAAAACTAATAAAAGTTTCTTCCAATATGTAAAAAACAAGGAAAAAATGAAACGTTCGCTCCACTAATGGGAGATGATGGCATGAAGGCGATCACCAACAGGGAGAAAATGGAACTACCTAACTCATTCTTTGCATCTGTCATTACACAAAAGGAAAAAGCAGTTCAGCTTTTCAAAAACAGTACCGTTAAAGATTAGGAATACAAGTCAAAATAGGCAAGAAAATGGTAAGAAAACAGCTATCTTGTCTAGATAAGTTCAAATCACCAGGTCCAGGTGGATTCCATTCCAGGGTTTTGAAGGAGCTGGCGGATGTGATTTCACAACCACTGAACCGTATCTTTCAAAGGTCCTGGAACACAGAGGAACTACCAGAGGATTGGAAAAGAGCTGATGTGGTTCCCATCTTCAAAAAAGGGATAAAATGGATCCAGGAAACTACAGGCCAATCAACCTAACATCAATACCTGGGAAGATCCTGGAAAAGATAAGCAACAAATCTGCAGACACTAGTGGCAAGCGAAGTTATAACCACAAGCCAACATGTGTTTGTCAAAAACAGATCATACCAGACAAATCTTATTGCATTTTTTATTATTAATTACTGAACCAGCAAAGGGCTGGGGACATAAATTGTTTGGATTTCACTAAGGCATTTGATAAAGTAGACCACAACCTATTACTCGGTAAAATAGAAAAATCTGGCTTAGACAACATTATCACCTGATGGATTCGTAACTGGCTGACCAACTGCACTCAACATGTATTTCTTAATGGAATTACATCTACATGGGGGGAAGTATGCAGTGTTCTACTTCAAGGTTCTGTCTTAGGCCCAGTACTCTTCAACATATTCACAAATGATTTAGATGAGGGAGTGGGATCTGTCTGTCTGTCTGACTGACTTTTGTGAGATTATTAAATCTTTGAGATTTTAGTGTACTGGCCTGAGTTTTTGAAATATCTTTCTTAAAAATGACAAAATATCCTAACTGGATAAGTTTGCTAGCTTTAGATTGACCTTAAATCTTTAAATTGTTTTGGAGATAGTATCTATCGCCCCTGTAGTAAGAGAAAAGGCAGTTATTTCCATTATGGGAACATACACTTATGCATTTTTTGTTAGAGATGTAGAATAATATAGGATGAAAGAAAGGTCATTTAGAGAAACCAAATGGCAGTTCTAAAGTAAAATGAAATCTGATAAAGTTTGAAAGATCCAAAAAATATTAGGGCTTTCTTAGTGTTAAACGCTAGGATCATACAAGTATCTTCCTTTAATCAGAAGCTTATTGAATTTAAATGAAAGATCTGCTTTTGTATTCATAGTGGCTCTAGAAACTTAGCTAACGTATCATTAAATGCTGATCAGATTATCAGAATAATTTGGAGTAAAGTTGTTACTGCTTCCCAAATGTTTTTAGAGACATTCAAATTGAGAACCATTACTTGTTCAGACCTCCTGCTGCACCTAATCCATTCATTCATAAACTTGATATTTTAAATTTATTTCATGCTATATCTCAATCTATTTATGATTGTCTTTAAGCCCATTCTCTAGGTTCTGATAATACCTTATACCTGCAACACCCGCAGTATGATTAGGGTTTTTTTTTTTATGACGCTGCGTCTATGCAAAAGTTCGTAGCTGTGTAATACCTTCCAGCTCTCCAATTTCCTTAAAGACTTTTTAAAAAAAATATTATCGAATCACATGACAAGCTGCTGTACAGGACAGAGCAATTTTCAGAGCAAGCTGTTTTTAAATGGTTTCCCGATAGTAACTAATCACTTGAATTCACTTGAGTTGTTGAGCACCCCAGGAATTTTGTCTACTAGTTCGCTTGAATAATCAGTTGCTATCTCATTCCCAAATATTTTAGTAAAGTGACCAGCCTACCAAAAATGTTGCCCCTGATCAGGTTATCCACTCTTAACGTCTCTTTTAGAAACCTTGCATTCTATTGTCTTGGTCTACAAGCAATAAGGGTGGCTCACCAAATTCAAATCTTTACTGTCAGTGCGCAACATACGTACAATGAGATTGGTTTGAGCTCCCTCAGTGCACCCCCAACACAATACAACTCACAGTGAAGATAAAAAATCCCTAACCCAATAAATCATATTAAGAAAACACCCAGTCCTATTGCACCAGTGTGAACATGTTACACATTGCGCAGACCCTGCAGTCCATCATACTACGTAGTTATGATGTTATTTCTCATTCAGGAGTCTGACAGCCCACGGATAAAAACTGCTCTTCAGCCTGTTTGTGCGGCTGGGTATACTTCTATATCTCCTTCCCGATGGTAGGAGGATCAAGAAGTGATGACCAGGATGAGAGTTGTCCCTGAGAATTTTCCTCACTCTTCTAAGGCAGTGAGCCCTAGCAATCTCATCTAGTGGTATCGGGACAGCCCACAATGTTTTGTGCTGTGCTCACCACCCTCTGTAATGTTTTTCTATCCGCGGCTGTCAGACTGATGCCATACCGTGATGCAATAAGTGAGGATGCTTTCTATTGTGGATCGGTAAAAGGAGGTCATCAGTTTTTGTTCCACCCTGTTTTTACGCAAGACCCTAAGGAAATAGAAATAAGGAAATGGCTTTCTGATGAAATCATTGTATTGGTTTATGGTTTCTCACAACAAATTGGATGGGGATAAGGAGGAAGTGCAAATTGTGTGAGGGAAGGAATACTTATTCCTTCCAAATAGTTGAGAAAAATAAAATAGCAGGAACATAAATATTTCATTTATAATTTTCTTTTCTTCCAGGTTTATTGGATTTGAAAATAATACCTTATCTGTAGTTAAAGTTATATAGATATATGTATACAAATGGGTTAGGTTCTTTCCAGTATTTCTTGTTCTACAGAGTATCTAGAAAACATTTCTTTTTCATCCTTTTTCTTTTTCCCCCTTACTCGGAATACATACACCCATTTCTCTGTCAGACCCATGCAGTCCATGTCTGGTTTACCTTTCATGTCTTTGATGTGATAAAGGCAAAGGAAGGTCTGATCATTTCTCCAAAAATCTAACAGTTTGTGTGACAATCTGTCCAAAGATCTGTAGGTTTTCTGTCAACTAAATGAACCTCTGCATATTGAAAGTTTTAAGAGCTATGCTTGCTTTGCTGGTGTGCTGAAGAAATCTCTAATAGCCTTATGACTTGGGAAATGCACACAGCTCTATACTACTAAAACTCTTGCAATGATGACCTTTAACTGGGTGAAACAGTGCATCATAGGGCAACACGTTTTGAACCAAGCTGCCTTAAATGGGCTAACTTACAGAATATATCTGAAATATAGGACCCATGACTCTTGAGGGAATGAAATTTGGAAAAATTGAGGATGCTTCAGTGCTATTGACTGTTGCTGCACTGCTCGGTTGCTGCTGTGATCATGTGATCTTCATTTTCAATGTTCCGTGACAGTTTCCTAGCCAGTCTCATAATCCCTCACTCCTTCCCCCCACCTTCAGCAGCAGATAGAAAGGAAAGGGAAAGGAAAGGAAAGGAAGGAAGAAAAGGAGGGAAGAAAAGGGAGGGAAGAAAGGAAAGACAAGGAGGAAAGGAGGAAGATTTCTGATGCTCACTGCCAGGTTCCCATAAAAATACTCATTGG